ACAGTTTGGGGGCAGGGGTGGAGGCAGCCTTAGTTCTGGGCAGAGGACCCCCAGGAGTCGTGGCTGGGCATCCATCAGACTCACCTGCAGGATCCTGGGGTGGTGCAGGCTGCCCAGATCTGATCCCGGCTGACTCCAGGACTCAAGTTTACAGCCCTGCGAAGTCCCCTCTTTGTGCCTCGGTTTCCTTGTCTGCAAAGTGCAGGAAGTCACAGCATCCACTTTTGGGGTGCTGTGCGATGGAATGGGGTGACATAGGTACACAGACCCCTCAGCACGGACATGGCTCGCAGGGGCCCACGGAAAGGTGGTGTCGAGGGTAGGCATGCTGGCGGCCTGCCAGGCCCATCGCCCAGTGGGCCACATGTCGGCCAAGGCTCACGGACGGAGCCCAGTGGGTGTCAGGGCCTCGGCGCCCCCAGGCTGAGGACAGACAGGGTGACAGGGACGTTTTCATCTGAGCAGACAATGGCCTGTAGTTCGGAGAGGCCTGGAGACGGGGGCAGAGTCTGAGCGTTGTTACTTCACGTTGTTACTGGAAAGAGCCTGGCCGAGCGGGTCTGCCTCTGGCGGCCTGGCCTGCCTGGGCTCTTCGTGCAGAAAAGAGCTCGCAGCAGAGTCCAGGTGACGAGGAGGGGTGCTTATGGAAGCTGGGACAGCGAAACAAGCCCATACGTGGGAAAGCCCCTCCGTGGGATTCCCGCACAGGGGAGGTGGCTGGGGGTCTCCAGGCCACAGCCCACCTGGTAGGTCTCGATGGGCCTCGCCTCCATGTTCAGGTCCCAGACCTTGACGGTGAGATAGTCGCGGGTGAGCATGTACCGGCCACTGTGGCTGAACTTCACGTCGGACACAGAGGAGATGATTTCGGAGAAGAAGGAGCGGTTGCTGGGGTCCTCGGGTTCCTCGAAGACTGCGGAGCAAAAGGAGGCGCCCGTCACCGTGAGGAAGGCGTGGCCGGCTCACGGAAGGGCCTGCTCCGGGGCCTTTGCTTAGGCTTTTAAAGGCTGTGCGTTAGGCGGGCTGGGGGAGGGTCTCAGTAGAAGGCCCATCAGCTTTCCCCGGCGTGGCCTCTCAGGGCCATGGCTCCCTGATTGGTCGGCGCCAGGGCAGGTCTTTAGTCCTCGCAGGTGGTCCTGGCAGCGCCCACCTGGTTCTGTGCTTTTCTGGGCCTGGAGCCGAAATCCAACCGAGGCCTCGATATTATCTCCAGGGAGAAAGGTCAGGGGTCACAGGACAGCGAGATGCCAGGGGAGGAGAGGCCACCAGTTTTGCCCATTGCTAGGCACCGGGGCTTTCCGCCCCGGGGACCGCCTGTATTTGGCGGTAAGTTGCTCGGCCAGTGTGTCCCGCTGTCTCAGTTTCCCCATTCCACAAGCCAAGGAATTTCCCGAGCTCCTTACTCCCCGGCCTCATTGTGGCCGCCCACAGCTCTGACCCCGGGCTGCCCACGTGTGCAGACCCAGGGGTAGCCGGCCTGCAGCCCACCCAGCCCAGGGCCCAGCCTCCCCACGAGTCCCTGGCCTTCTAGGCCCCCCCAACCACCCACCACGCTGCACCACGATGTGGGTGCCAGCCCCGGGTGCGCACGGGAGCTCCCAGCAGGATCCCACCTGCCACCCCCAACGAGGGCAGCGTGGAGTCCAATGGCTCTACCTCCACTGCCCTCTCACATGTGCGACAGGCCGGCCGGGTCCCACCTGAGGGCCCTCAGCTGTGAGAGCTGCAGGACTCAGCCGGCGGGGCGGGAGGAGCGGGGCGGGAGATGGAATGAAGGTGCCCAAGTGAATTCATTTTCCAGGGCCCGTGGGACAATGAGCAGCTTAGCACCGCACACCTTCTCTCTTACAGGCCTGGGTCGGGAGTCCGGCAGGTCTCCCGGAAATGGAGGTGTGGGCAGGGCTGGTTCCTGCCAGACACCCTGGGGGAGAGTCCGCGTGCTGCCTTTTCTAACCCCCGGATGCCCACGTTCCTTGCGCCGGGCCCCTTCCTCCAGGCAGTGGCTTCACGCCCCGCCTCCCTGGCCCTTCCCCCCTGGGCGGCTCCAGCTCACCCTTCACCTCTCAGAACCTCGACTTCCTCGTCTGCACCACATTCTCACGGTGGAGATGAAAAACCTGAAGATCCCGGGAGAGTGTGAGGACTTGGACATCATGGGGGCGATGCTCGCCAGCTTCAGAACAAACTCCCCAAGCTGAGGCGCACGGCCAAGCCGGAGCTCTGCAGGCCTCGCCCCGCAACCCCTTTCCCTCCCGAAACGACATGGCTCAGGGTGATCAGCTCCGTTTCCTCGGTGACGAACTCAGCTTGGAGAGATCCCAGGCTGCACTGGGAGCTAGAGGCAGCAGAACCTGGAGTGGTCCGGGCTTCCCTGCACCCAGGTGTGTCGCCTTGGGACCGGACCCACGCCCTGTGGTGGGCCTTGTCAAAACAACACCGGCCTGGCCAGTGTGGCTCAGTGGTTGGGCATCGACCTATGAACCAGGAGGTCACGGTTCAGTTCCCAGTCGGGGCACATGCCCGGGTTGCAGGCTTGATCCC